ATAAAACACCACAATACAGCAATACAATTACTTTGACATACTAAAGACTAGTTTCTCTTTAGGGGAATCAAAAAATGTATATTTTATCTCCATATGCTGTTTTTTGCATCCATTTTATCTAACCATGCTTTTCCCCCCTTATTTTATTAGTTTGCATGCATCCAACAGTAACGATATATTCGTTTCATATATATTATATGCGCACACAATATGATATTGCTCTCTAGCTGATATTTCACTGCACTGATCTGTACATCATTTTTATTCTTTTTGTGTTTTACAGACAGCGCCTCTAATAATGAGCATAAGCTCATTTGCTGCAACCAGCCATAATTGTAAGCTCTATGTAATTGGAGGTGGACCCAATGGAAAGCTGGCTACAGATAAAATGCAGTGTTATGACCCATCTACCAACAAGTGGGTCTTAATATCACCCATGCCTGTAGAAGCAAAATGTATCAATGCTGTAAGCTTCCACGATCACATCTATGTGGTTGGTGAGTATTTCAATGTGTGCATAACAGCAATAGATGATACATATTGGATGTAGATATGGAGAAATAATCTAATGGAAATGTTATTAGCTATCCAGCCATTAATACACCAAATTCTGAAAACTGGTCAGCAGTGAGTTTTGCAACCTTTTTAGTAACTGGAAACCGTTATTTAAAGCTAAACTGCAAGCAAGTCTAGTATATACAGGTGAAACTCGAAAAATTAGAATATCGTGCAAAGTTCATTTATTTCACTAATGCAACTTAAAAGGTGAAACTAATATATGAGATAGACTCATTACATGCAAAGCAAGATAATTCAAGCCATGATTTGTCATAATTGTGATGATTATGGCTTACAGCTCATGAAAACCCCAAGAACCCCAAATCCACAACCTCAAAAAAGTAGATTATTACATGCAATCAATAAAACAAGGATTGTACATAGAACAATATCGGACCTCTGAAAAGTACAAGCATGCATATGTACTCAGTACTTGGTTTGGGCCCCTTTTGCAGCACTTACTGCAATTACTTTTGCACGATATTCTAATGATTCGAGTTTCACCTGTAAAGTTGAGATATAAAGTGTGTGATTTGTGATCTGTTCTACCTATCTTATGATTAAGAAACCACTGCCAGACATCATTGCTAGGTCTGTGTTACCCAATGCAGAATCGCAGCCCCATCCTACTTTTCCATGTCCAGGCTAAGCAGAAATATTATATGTAGGAATGTCACAATACCACTTTTTCAAGACCAAGTACAAGTACTTTCCCTCAGGTACTTGCCAATACCAATTACCGATACTTATTCTCAAAGGGACATGTGAGATTTTTTTCTAAAACAATATAGACTAACAATTTTAGGGCATTTTCTCAACAGGGCTGCATATAGATATCGCCAGGGCTGCGTGCAGGTTCCAGTGTGAAAAATGCCCCTTACATTGCTGGCCAGTGAGAAGATTGCCAATAACATTGCTAATTGCTGAAAACAATGGCCCTGTCTATGACCATTCATAGACCCGAACACAGGATCTACCTCCCGCCTCTCTCTTTTCCCCGGCACTTACACACTGCGCAGTACAGTCCACAGACAGAGTTCCATCACACAGAACACTATTAATACTCACCGACTGCCACTCTGTCACACTTCCGTCCGGAGAGGTCAGAGCGGAGAGGAAGGCTGCGATTGGTGGAGAGCGTATTCCGGGGGAGGGGCTGTGCGGGTCACTGGCTTCCCACGTTTTGCCTTCTGCTTTCATCTCCGGCAGCCGAAGCTATTTGAAAACATTTTTAAGTACGCGTCACAATGCCATGTATTGGCCCTGATACCGATGCTAGTATTGGTATTGGGACATCCCTCATTATATGCTAGGCAATGCAGAAGATTACAGTAGGCTAATATGGAGACAGAGTCAGGTCTTTACACTAGTCAGATTTAAAGTACATGTTTTCATTTGTTTTTGTTTTACTTGCCAGCTGCTCTCCCCCAACTCTCTTCATAGGAACAAGCATGCATGCTCCCCAAAGTGAATTAATTAATACATCCTTAAAGATGTTTTTAAATGCAAGCAGTGTAATTACCCAAATTACCCAAATATGATTTGGTATCAGCCTTGTAAACCCCTACACAGCAGAGCTCAGACTGGGAGGGGAAGGAGCAGAACAAGGAGACAATCAGCTGTGTTCCAGTACTCATGTGTTAAAAAAAAAGGATATGCTTATGGGATATGCTTATATATGGGCTGTGCTCTGTGGCTGGAGGGTCAAACTTGGTCATTAAGAAGTTTTGCAGAGATTTGCTTAGAGAATCTGTGGAGATCTCTGGAATCCAATAAATTATGCTATTCTGCTGGTCTGCAAAGCTATGAACCTCTGACGTTATGTATGAGTTACCTGATAACACATTTTTGCTTTGTAGGTGGTGCAATGAAAGCGCTGTATTCATACAGCCCTCTGGAAGATACTTGGTGCCTGGTGACAAGTTTTAGCCATGAAAGAGCAAGCTGTGGAATAGCTGCATGTTGTAATAAAATATTCATCACAGGTGGAAGAGATGAGAGGAATGAGGTCATTGCCACTGTTTTGTGCTGGAACATTGACATAGGAAAACTGACTGAAGAATGTGTCCTCCCCCGAGGAGTCTCCCATCACAGCAGCGTTACAATAAGGAAATCCTATACCCACATCCGTAGGATTGTCACTGGAGCTGTTTCCGTCTAACTACAAAGGGAACCTTATCATAACTATCTAATATTTAGATTTTTTTTTTACATTTATTGTTTTTTTGTGATTACAACAACAAGGGGAAGAAGCATTTGTT